TAATAAATATAAATAAAATAATAATAATATCAATAACACGATATAAATATTTTAAAATAATAAAATAAAAAAAAAAAGAAAAAACACCAACGCCTCTTGAACATAACTATTTCTAATATAAATAAAAATTTTTTTATTTTTAAATTCTACGTAATCAATGGTGGTTTGTGTTAATAGGTTTATCATTTCTGTTTTAATTTTTATTTCTTTTCTTTGTTCCTCAAGAACTTTTCTAATTCTTGTTAGTTCTTCATGTAGCTGTTTTAAACCTTCTTCTTCGTTCATTGTGTTTCTCATGCTTCTTTTAAAATTTCTGATAAATCAACTTCAGGTGGTTTAGGTAATTCTGGAAATCTAATATTGGCAATTTTATCTTCTAATGATTGTGTTCTATCATTAATTGTTTTTTTTAATCCCTTGTTATCAATTTGATTTATAGCATCTTTAATATCTTTAATATCTTTTGCTATATTTAAATTTTCTAATGTTTTTTTTAAAACATCTTCAAATAAAGGTTGTGAATCTTCTATTGATTTTTTTATAGCAGTGTTTATTGTGGATGTTAAATCAGTTATTCTTTCAAGAAGAGCATTATAATTTGTTTGTAATTGCGCGTTTTGGTCGGTTTTATCTTTTAACAATTGTTGTATATGTTTCAATTCACCCGCCAATTGTGTTTTTTGAGTTTGATAATCAGGTGTTGTTTGAGTTTGATTATTTGGTGTTGTTTGAGTTTGATTGTCAGCCATATTTTTTTTTTTAATTTTTTTTTAATATCTCTTGAGTTTAAATATTTAATTTTAAAATAATAATATAAATTATTAAAATAAAAATAGCATCTAAAATATTTTTAAGTTGTAAAAAAAAAAATGGTTCTTTGTTTATTATTAGCTGCTTGGACCAGTTGGTATAATACGCTCATATCTTACAAACAACAATACAATAATGCCATCTGGTATTATAGACGTACTGGTCAATATCAAAATAATTCTGGACAACTTTTACAAAATATTAATAACCTAAAAACACTTTAT